AATCATCTTGTTAGTGAGCCAGTCCTTTATTCACTGAGACACCATGGCCCCAGTTAAAACTCCTACAGAAAATAAAGAAATAAACTTACCTAATAGTTGTAAGAATTTGTCGAGACATAAGATGAACCAGCAACAGGTAAAACAAATATTATATATAAACAATACAGCATAATATTATATCTATATTAAACATCAGGTAAAATGGCACCCCCTCTTTCCTCTCGATCAATATACTGTCCATTTGATTGGATGCTATAGGTTGGTTTGTTCTGTAGGATCACAATCTTTCTTCATTTAACGTTTTATTTCCGGAAATATCACAGCCAAGAGTTTAAGACCAAAATAAAACTAGATTAGTAAACAAACTGTCTTCCACTACTCTTGATTAGATTAAATTTGATTATTCCTTTAAAATGTTACTTTGGTAGATAAAGTCAATTCGGAAATATCAACGATTATGTGTTCAACAGTCGACAGTTTAAGATCAAAATGAAACTAGAATTAGTAAACAAACTATCTTCCGGTAGTGTTTTAGATAATTGAAATAATAGAGATCAACCCAATTAAATATTTTATGTGGACCTAAATCAGGGAGATTTCACAACTTTAAGCTAGGAACGCAAACCAATTAAAATATTTGATGTGGACCTAAATCAGGGAGATTTCACACCTTTAAGTTAGGAACGAAAACCAATTAAAATATTTTATGTGGACATAAATTAGAGGATTTCACAACTTTAAGCTAGGAACGAAAACCAATTAAAATATTTTATGTGGACCTAAATCAGGGAGATTTCACACCTTTAAGTTAGGAACGAAAACCAATTAAAATATTTTATGTGGACATAAATTAGAGGATTTCACACCTTTAAGTAAGGAACGAAAACCAATTAAAATATTTGATGTGGACCTAAATCAGGGGGATTTCACACCTTTAAGCTAGGAACGCAAACCAATTAAAATATTTTATGTGGGCCTAAATCAGGGAGATTTCACACCTTTAAGCTAGGAACGCAAACCAATTAAAATATTTTATGTGGACCTAAATCAGGGAGATTTCACACCTTTAAGTTAGGAACGAAAACCAATTAAAATATTTTATGTGGACCTAAATCAGGGAGATTTCACACCTTTAAGTTAGGAACGAAAACCAATTAAAATATTTTATGTGAACCTAAATCAGTGAGATTTCACACCTTTACGTTAGGAACGCGCTTAGTAGGTCTACTGTAAAATACACAGTACACGGTAAAATCATCAGTGATTACGATTCTGACTACATTATTGAGCGGGTTCATTCTCACCCAGCTCAAAACTTAAATAATCATGTTAGCGTGACTAAGGTGTTAATTGGAATTTCTAAAGAAGGATTAGCTGTAGTCAGTTTCAAATTGGGCACTGTTTATTTCATTAGGTTAAACCTAATAGTAAAACAAAATCACTTGATAATGTTTTATTCAACATTTATTATAGTAAAACATGTTTATTTTAACACTTTTAATGTAAATGGAAAAACTTAATATAAAAAATAAATAACTAAATAGCACTATGAAATGAGCATCAACATTAAAAATATATATTTCATATGGGCAAGTAAACATTTCATACTTTTTACTCTAAATGGACAAGATGAGATACCGCATCTACATAAAGCATGATGTCTCTTTGACCATTTCGGAACTGATCTTTCAATGCTTGACGTCTCTCTTGAAGTTCACATGACACTTATTAAACGGTTAATCCATATCTAATTAGGTGAACACATTTCAGCTACAGACCATAATCCCCCAGCCCTCAACCCTTAATCCCCTTAATCAATATTTTGAGCTGGATGAGAACACCCCACTGAGCCAGGTATATTTAGCACCCACCATTCAAAAGTCACCAGGGGGTTGTTATTAGGTATATATAAAATATCAATTCATAAAATAATCAAATTTGTCTGCGATATAAACACGACGGAAGCGGACTTTAGATACACCTTCACCAACCAATTAAATCGACAACTCTATGTATGACCAGAATCAAGGAAGAGGGTGCCATTGTAACAGATGTTATTATCAGTTGTATTGCTATAAAATAGAACAACAAAACGCCGAGCCAAATATGGATGATATTAATATGAGAGTACAACAATTCAAGTTCCTGATATTAATAAAACAACATTCTGTAATAATGGCCATCAGGCAAGCTTTTATGGGGCAGATTCAGAATATTCAAAAATAACATTTTTATATTCGTCCCCACGTGCAAATAAACTATAATTATAATTATATTGCTTAAAACTACAGTGGAGACGAATATAAAAATGTGATTTTTGAATATTCTGAATAAGTCCCATAAAAGCTTGCATCATCCATATTGCCAGCGATATTTCAACTCCGGTGTTTAATCAAATTGTCTTTCTATATTAATAAATAATTTAATTATAAGATAAATGCCAAGGCTGAGATATGAAATTCAATTAATTTTCTATTTTCATTTCTTTTTCTCGTGATTTGTTTTTATCTGATCGTTGGTATGTTGTAGACATTTACAAACTGTTTTAGACTAACATCTAAAGGGAAACAACTCTAACACATTTAGATATGGAATCAGACTAGTAATTTTTTTCCTCATTGATATCCATGATATTTATTGATCTGTGTCATTTTTCGAACATTAGGCGAATCTTAATCTTTATAACCACAAAGAGCCCGACATATCAGAAAAATCTGATAAAGTATTGGGCTGGAGGTGGAGGAGCTATGATTGTTATCTATGTTTGGTTTTGGGGATTTATAGGCCGTGACATCATTTCCGTAGTGATTTCTCTATATCTTGTTTACGTACTTCCTGTTTCGTCTGTCTCAAATTTATGAATATTTACCAAATCGTTGCCAGAAAATGTAAATTCGAACAGTCTTCTTCGATTCTAGCCCAAACGGTCACCAAAAGTTGTTATATAAAATGGGAAGAAAAGGGAGAAAGAGGGAATTGTTGTAAATGTAGGAAGTACGTTCGTGGGTCCCGAGATAAGGGGAGGTAATTACTAGTCTTAATCCTAATAACATCACGAGGTTATGTCCAGTACTGATGCTAGTTTTTCATAAATAATAATCCTTAAACATGTAAATCATGGTAAACTGAAAATGTGTGTTTATTCGAAATTTGTATTTATTGAATTTATTCGAAATTTGTATTTATTCGAAATTTGTATTAGGATTTGTATTTATTCGAAATTTGTATTTTTACTTACGGGAAATTTGTATTGTATTTATTCCGAAATCTGTATTTATTCGAAATTTGTATTTTTGTCACTTTCATAGGATTTCACGTTATCGATAAACAAAGCAACAGTTCTAAATATAACTGAGTTTTTTTATTATATCTAACCGATAAATTCACAATGCCAATAAAACAATTTTATTGTGCGTTCGTGCAGGAAAGGCATACTTCAAAACTATATTACATTTTTACATAAATATAAAAAATAAGGAATCACCTCAGCCGATCCGAAATAGAATATATTTTTATTTTATAGAAATTTTTTAAAATTAACGACCATTGTGCCCTGTCCATAAACCGATTCATACTGTCTATTATTGTTAATGTTTCAGTTTGTAAAGAAAATCCCGAGAGAGTAATAATGTTACATCAATGTAATTGGCCATCTGTTTGTAAATAAATGATTCACAAAGTTTATTATATCCTTTAAATTTGGTTAACTTCTTTACATTTTGCTAGGTGAGTGAACTGGTATCAAGCTGATATGAAATGAAATGGGGTTTAACGTGATACTTTTGGGCATCAATGGAACTATAGAATGAAGTCAAGGCACGTAACTTTACATATGTTTTAGAAATAAAACCGGACAATGCTAATATACTTGATGTTGGTCATAGTTTGAACGAAATCTAGAATATACATTTTTTTTTTCTTTAAACAAAATTTTATTAAGAAATTGAAAGGTATTGAGGAACAGGCATAGTCTATATGACCTCCCTCCGCGATCTTTCGAATTTAAGAGGCATGATTCCTTATTTATCAACGTTTTGGACCCTTTTAACCTTCTTTTAATAACATATGGGCATCACCGAAATACAATACTTTGGTCAATTTAAAACATTTGTCTGTTCAGCAATCCGAGGTGAATGAATTTTGATTTTGCTTCCGTCTACTCCACATCGCACCCCAGCTACCAAAGGGTTGCACGAACGGACCTCGGTGTTTCGTCCTATCCGAACGCATGGGCGTTCTTCCCTGGTCCACGACGGGATCCGGGATATTATGATCAAGAGGTTATTGTCAGAAAAAGCTTAAAAGGCTCCAATACATTGGGAATTATATTTCACTTACCAGTACTTACGTGGTTCGATATTTATTAATATATTAATGCTTTTAACACACATCACCGAAACTTACCTTTTTCTTACCAGTCATTTCACAACAACAACAACAACAACAATATTAAAAATATATACACAAAACAGACACGGAATGCAGCAAGATTAATTTGAATTTAATGACCTAAAATGTATGCGACATACACTCAGCTGTGTCACATGTTGTTGGTGCTTACCAATGTAATTTAGAACTCTGTATGTTTAAGTTAGGTAAAACCAAAATCCAGTAAGACAAAACCGAGGAGACAGATCAGTTCGACTGACAACCAGTTTCCATTTTTGTGGATCAGGAATATTGTATTCCAAAAGCAACAACAGACGGTGACCTATACGTTACACCCACCTCAGGATTTAGAACTATTTTGGAACGAGACAATGAGATTTCGGGTGTTCTTGCGCGTTATAAACTAATCAATCTTTGACAGCTAACAATCTCACACAACAACATCGGGGATAAGCAAGATGGCGGTGTAATTCTAGGGAAGTGTTATCAAAGGCGGATTTAAATGCATCTATTATAAAATTTCAAATTTTGTTTCACTTCACCGAATCTCAAATTAATACGTACTCTACTAACATGCAGATATTTTATTAATAAAAACAATAAAAGTATACCGCGCTCCAGCCTTGGGTCCCAACAAATTTTAACCCATGCCTTGAAAGCCCCGTGATTGTCTGGCCTTTTGTTTGTTCACTCGACCACCTTCGGTTTCAGTCAATTCTGAAAAAGAAAATAGATGACTTGATAAATTGCTTGATAATTTCTGCCTACTTTTAGAGATCGGAACTGTGACAGTTAAAGTACCTCGGGATTTTGCGATGTGACTTCCCCTTGTCAGTGGTGAATGACTGAAGGCCTGACAAGGAACCGTGTCTGAATTGATATCTGTATACACACTGGGGTGCACGTAAAAGAACCCTATATAGTTTGAATATGAAATAAGAGATGGTTGTACTGCCGCTGATTTTATAACATATGAAGGACTAGATTTTCTTCCTTGAAGGACCCTCTGCCCTGCATCAGTCACAAGGGGACACCAGTCTAGAACATTCTGAGGATCTTTCGTGGCCAACATTGGAATCGAACTCGTGGTCCCTTACCAGTGAGCCAACGCCATAACCACCCAACCAACGTCACCCCGTCTATAGGTTTTAATAATTTTGAAGTTAACCGATGTGAACTAAAACAGATGTTATGTTCATTGTGCTGCTAGATTGAAGCCTACTGGAATCGAACTCGTGACACTTTATCAGTGAGCCAAGGCCATAACCACTGAACCACCGTCTGTAGGTTTTAATGATTTTGAAGTTAACAGCTCCGAACTAAAACAGATGTTTAGGTTGATTGTCCTGCCAGATGGAATCTTTTAGTTGACCGGACCAGAACAAAGCTCTGATTAATTTACAAGAAGAATTTATTTGTTTCGTAATGACAAATTAAATTGTGTCTAGACGAGATTTAATTTAAAACTGATTTCTCAATGGTTTCATCTTCAACCAAACAATAAACTTGGTTGTTAAATTTCCAATTTCAGTTCAGTTTAAAGTCGCTCTTAGTCTGGCTTAAACAGGCATTGCCAGATTCGGAGTCGTTTCCTGTAGGGGAGAGCGGGTTATGTTGTGCCACTTACCACAAAAACTGCTCTGGAGTTAAAAGTATCCATATAGTTTGCTGCCGAAGTTGGTTTCACTACGTAGTTAAGATATTGTTCGTTATTAAGCATTGTTTGCACCCAAATTACTATGCCGGAAGAAAATGGTAGGGTTCTAAAACAGTGTTGGTCAAGTGGCCCAATTTACCCCATACCCCAAGGGTGGGGTAAGTTTTAATCTGATTAAAATACAGATCTATATTTCGTTTCGTTTTTTTTATACTTTTGACGGCCCACACTACATGAAGATCTGACAAGTTATAGTGGGAGTTTACGTAAGGGGTCAAACGAGCGGCTTTTGACCCTATGATGCCAAACATTGATTAATTAATCAGTGTCGACGTTTCTAGTGGTTTACCTACAGTTCCGTGCGTAAAAAGTCCAAGAACTCGCCGTAACACACCGTTTCAATGGCTAATCCCTCACACCACCCAGAACACGTTAATGATAACAACTCTTCCAGATCCTAGTGTAGTAAAGACAAGGAAAACGAAATTTTGAATTATAAAAACGAAACGAAATAAGATCTGTGTTTTAATAAGATTGGCCAAGTTGTTCTACCATATTGGATAAGTTGAGCCGAGTCATTGTAAGAAATATTGATAGATAAATGTCACAAAATTACAAATGTTTATTCAACATGTTGTTCCAGTTGGTCATCTTATATATATGATAACATTCACATGTAATTTACTCATGGTAAACTCAAATAGTAAAATTAAAGATGTACATTCAGCTACACTGAATTATTGTCGTGATCAGAGTACTAGAAGAATGCCCGGCTTCGCTCGGGGGTCATAACTTCGAAACCGGAAGTGGTAGACTAACGCCACCTGGCCTATGTTACTCCCCGGTCCGAGCTACCCCTATACCCCAAATTTCAGACTCGGGGCAGACCTAGTGTAGCCGCCAACCCCGAACAGACAGACAGACAGACAAACAGACAGACAAACGACAGTCACAAATATTAGTATATAAGATAACATTCACATGTAATTTACTCATGTTAAAATCAAATCCTAAAATTAAAGACTGGTTTATAAGTATATAAACGACGTTTCGACAAGTATTCTCTTATCGTTATCAAGCACAAATGATTATTTGAAGCCTAAAGAAAGACCTACAATAGTAAGATTTGGCTCTTGCATAATGTATGTTTAGAGGACTAAATATACAATCATATCGGAGATCTGATAAAACAGAGAGAGACAGAGAGCGAGAGAGAGAGAGAGAGAGAGAGAGAGAGATAGAGAAGAGAGAGAGTAGTGGGAGTAAACCGGAGGACCCGGTTGGACAGGCGACCCTACTCCTTGTCACGTACAACCGGGGAATCAAAACCACGCCCAGTAAACTCAATGGCAGACCTTATGACACAACGCGCACGTGTTAACCATTCGGCAATCCAACCCTCCCTCTGATAAAACACTAGCTTCCTATTAGGTATCATCATCAGCGGACAATTACGGAGTTTTTAGTAAATGCTATACACATCAGTGGCGTGCTACAATTTTATTCATACTCTCAAATACTTATTTTAAAACCATATCTATATTAATCAACTAGTCTCATAACTTTATGAAACGTGTAATAATATTATTAAAGCGAGCGTCGTATTTCTATCTAAATGGAGATTAACGACATCACTATGATGACTATATTCATATTAAACCGTGAATAAAATGGCGGCAATCGATTTTATTGGAGAAAATTGATATTTATTTTCGACTTGAGAAAAGTGGAACGCTCTTATTTTTATTGATCATTTTTTTGAAATTGGCGAGGGAGGTGAAATCTAATTCCACATGATGGTCGTGTTCCCTGTTTATCTATAATATCATACCATTCCCCGCCAAAATCACCGATCAATATCAGCCATAACTTTAACGACAAACACATTAGATAAGAAAAGATATTAGTAAAGAGATGAAGTGATTGAGATGGCTACCAGTGTTTGTCTTAGATTCTGTGTAGATGTTTAGATAAATAAGACAATCTCCTTGTCATCCGTAGACATAAAATGGAGTTTGACGTCTTACATTTCTGCACCAACGGGGATAATGAAGACGGGCATTCGCTACACAGTGTGCTGAGAGAGAGAGAGAGAGAGAGAGAGAGGGGGGGTTAATGTCCACTCCACACAAAACTAGGTCATTTCGGGACTAACATATGGTTCAATTTTCTTTTAATAATTCCTTAGCGCATAGGGGTCTTTAGCTGTTGGAGAAAACGGGAGAACCCGGAGAAAACCCACGAGGTTGGACAGGCAACCCTACCCATTGTTACTTACAATCGGGGAATCGAAACTACGTCACTTGACTCAATGACAGACCTTTTGATCCAACGCGCACGTGTTAACCATTCAGCCACCCAACGCCACACATGGTGCTAAGAGATATTGTCCGTAGAATTCTTTTTAATACTAAACGTCAGATAATCAAGTTGGGTACATTTAAGAGTGGTATAACTGAAATGAAAACGCGGGGTTTAACGTCCTAAGAGTAGACCGTAGCTGCCTGGACAATGTATACCCGTCTTCATTAGCCCATTAGGAGCAGAACAGTAGCACGTTTAACCCCATTTCATTTCTTATTAAGGTCAACCAAGTACTCATCTAATGCAACCTGACACTTATTACCGTTCAATAATTGTTTCTGTTAAATATATCGAATCCATGGTTGTACGAGACAAGGAGTAGGGTCGCCTGTTCAACCTCATGGGTTTTCGCCGGGTCCTCCGGTTTCCTCCCACTACTAAAGACCCGTACGCGCAAGCGAATTATTGAAATAAAATTAAACCATATGTTAGTCCCGAAATTACCTAGTTTGTGTCGAGTGGACGTTAACCCCCTCTCTCTCTCTCTCTCTCTCTCTCTCTCTGTTAAATATAATAAACATTTATTATCGTATATTCTCCTCGGGAGATGTGCTAAATAAAGAAAAACCTTCAAATTTACTACCATTGGAGTGGAGAGCCATAATAAGCTTTACATATACTACCCCGGTTAGTGCTAAATGATAAGGCCAGCTCAATTTTTCGTCATAGGTCAAGATATGTAAACAGGGCTAGTGTTAATCCCAACCCTTAACCTAACCTAGCCCCAATGTTTACCCTAACCGACAATCTCGCCAACAATCACGTGCCCTAACCTTATTTTCATCTCAGCGGCCTTGGCGAAAATTGGGCTCGCCTTAACAAATAGATTTAGCCATACTCCCCGTCTAACTTCCTTCTTGTATATCTATTTCAGGGTCAGCTGAAGAGGAGATGGGGCCGGGTAGAGACGTTATATTTATACAGATGGATTGAATAATTCATCTATCAGAGGTTCTGTGTTCTGGTTAGGATGAGGGCTACAGAGTTACCCACCCCTAACGTCACCTCTACCCTAAACCGTGTCGTGTCTAATCAAGATCTTTCCGACCTGCGCAAAAAGCCCAAGAATGGACTCTCCCACTTACTTCTGCACACTATTGCTAGTTTCTGTTATTGCTCCGTTTAAGTCAATTCTTGTTCTAGTTCATGTCCGCGGGGAATCCATTTTGTTTTCTGGGTAAATTCACTTTCTTTAAGTCCTCCCCAGGGACCATACATTGTCTATCCGTCATTTTTATTTGCTGTTCTTATCAGGAGCTAAGTCCCAGCCTTGTTATTACCCATACGCCAACAGATAACGTCACTAATTTCATAGACATCTATAATTTGTCGAGTTTATTGACTTGAGTTACAAATTACATCTCGATTAACCAGCTGACCAGGGTAAGTATTTAATTAGTAGTAAAACAGATCAATATTAAGTAGACCAGTTTGTCACAGTTCATCATTGTTAACCGCTTTAAAGCAACGAAGCGCCATTTGCATTTTCACAACTTAATCCAAATGAAATGAAAATGAAATGGCGTTTATTGTCCTACTGTTCTGCTCCGAACTGGACTAATGAAGACGGGCATATACAATGTGCTATGAGGGAAATTTTGCCCGGACAGCGGCACTACGGCCTACTCTTATATCGAATTCCAACTGTCAAGGGATCTTTTATGTGCACGCAACTGTTTACACGGGACTTTGCTTT